AGTATTTACATTTACTGATACTCCAAAATAAGAGAGAAAACTAGAGAGAACTTTCTTACTAGGAATTAAATGTTCTACACATAGAACCACTGTCTATTATTGCATCACAAGATGGGGAAAAAAAGACTGAGGACTTCCATGTAATATTAATGTATATGGTTGAAGGCTTCAAGCACCTTATCAACAAGGCTGGTCATTATCCCTGACAAATGTTGGTGCTAAATTAACTTGTGCTATTTTAGTTAATAACCAAAGAGAGATGTAGAATGCTTTCTTGAGACGGCAAAGTACATGACTAAGAGGTATAGAGACAAAGAATAAGAGAGAAATGGACTAACTTGTCCATTTAAGACACCTGTTTCAGATACCATCTGAGGCTTTTGTTTTGATAAAAAAAAAAAATGGCTGCTTTAAAATATGTGGACAATATAATGTCATGAAAACTGGAGGGAACCAGCAGTTAGCGTAATGGCTATGTCACTGGACTCCCACGTAATCGACCGCAGTTTGTGTCCTGAACCTGGTGGCTTAAAACTCACCCCAGGCACGTGTGCATGCGTGCCCAAGATCCCGAGAGGAGAATGGAGGAGAAGGGATTGCGGCATGACCATCCCCCTTGGGAGGTGATTTCTCGCTCTCTGTCTCTATGTCTCTCTCTGTCTGTCTGGTGAGCGCACGTGCCCTATAGCGAAAAACCTCTCCAAAAAAAAAAAAAAAATTGGAATTAGAAATCATGATATGGAATTTATTCCCACTTTGTCATTTGCTAGCTGTGTAGCCTTACGCTAATCACCTAATCTCACTGAGCCTCAGTTTTCTCACCTTTGAAACAGGAAATAAACACACTGACCCAGCTGTTAAGAATCAAGAGTTCCTAAAAGTGCTTTATAAAGCACCATGCAAATATAAGGTAAAACTGCTTTGACTATTGCATCTATTTCAGGTGATTTCATTCTTGACTGCACTTTCATTTACTCAAATGTTTTTCTCTATGCATGGAGCTCTAATGCATACATCATCATGGTTATTAATATTTAAATCACTTTCAGCAGTAAGATAGCTATTTACATCCATTCATGCTATAGCTAGAGGGAAAAACAGCCAGAAAGCCTTTGTGGCTTCACCATGTATTTCACTTTGCATTGAGTTTTCTGTTCCTTAAACCAGGGCTCAAAACAGCACTGAGTAACACTGTTTTTCTCTTCTGAAATGTCCCTTCACACCTTCTCCTTATGCCCACTTAACACCTCTCTTTCACCTACATTGTCTCATCTAATCGTCCAGACAACCTCTGCCAAATGAAACCCTTTCTTCCTCTTCCCAAGGCTTAGAGAGATTATTTTCTAAACATCCAAATGGCAGATCAAGAATTAGAATCCAGGTTTCAGAATATCTTCTCCTTCGCACATTCCAGGACACCACACAGGGGCCCTATGGCTGAAGAATCCAACTCGTTCACCAAGCATACATTAAGACTCTTCTGAGAGCCACTGAACAGAGAGATACAAACCCTATTTTCATGGAACCTACATTCTACTAATAGACTAATGTTGTGAGCTCACAACATTAGTTCTTTCTCTTAATTGTTCTTCTTTGGTGGAAAAAACATTTCTTCCATCTCCCCCAAAATAAGACAAAGTGCTCAGGCTTGTACTTCATGTCTCTGTTGTCTACTGTGTCCAGTTCTATTGTGATTCAGATGGTCATGTGCACTGTCTCTCCCTCGTGTCCATAGGGACTTGTAAGCAAAGGCATGACTAGAAAAGATGTCACCACTTGTTACAAAATGGCTTGTTTAGGACACTTTCCTTCTCACACATTCATCCAATGGTTTCTCAATATGATATTGTGTTTTGGGGAAAGGCTACGGGTGGTTCCAAACTGTCACTATTGACATCCAAGTTATGTTCTAGCATATTAAACTAAGGATATTTGAGAGACGGAGAGAGAGACATTAAAAGGCAGATATTTATAAAACCTCTTTGTGTGGGAGTAAGAGTAACCCTAGGGCAGAGCTCAGTAGAATAGATTCAATTATTTTTCTGGTTTCTAGCCGATGGTTTGTATTTGGAGGGGCCTCGGTGACCTGAAAGACTAACTCCCCCTCCCAAATACCTGTTCCTTAATCTACTGGGAGGAGAGAAATAGTTGGCAAGCGGGACCACCAGTTAGTGTAATGGCTATGTCACTGGACTTAAATGTAGTCAACTGCGGTTCGGGTCCTGGATCCGGTGGCTTAAAACTCACGCTGGGCGCGTGTGCATGTGTGCCCAAGATCCTGAGAGGAGAATGGAAGAGAAGGGATTGTGGCATGGCCATCCCCCCTGGGGGGTGCTTTCTCGCTCTCTTTCTCCCTGTCGCTGTCTGTCTGTCTGGCGAGCACACGTGCCCTATAGCAAAAACCTCTTCAAAAAAAAAAAAAAAGAAATAGTTGGCAAGCATCCTCCAAATCAGAGTCCATAAGTAATCTGGCCCATTTCTGCTGGACTATGCACTAGAAGTTGGTGGACACGTGGGGAAAAAAAAGTAATATACTGAAAACTTAAAAGATACAGTGCTCAGGTTAATGCAAAATAAAAAATAATAAAAAAGAAAACTAAAACTCTATGAGAAAGAAGAGTTGTTCAGTGCCCCTTTTGGAAATAAAACAACCTCCCAACTTGGAAATGATGCATTCATGCTTTCCAGAAAGAGAGATGGGGCTGGAGGACATCTCAGACTCTGGAACTCCGAAGGAGACAAGGTTGCAATATACTGTGTATAGTAGCTGAGATTTCACAGGGAGCAACAGAGAAAAGACCACATAGCAGAAAGAGATAGATAAGAAATGCAATAAAGTATGTTTTCAAAAAGAAGCAAGAAGCTTGTTGTTAAAGGGGCTGCAGAAACAGGTTTGTTATCAAGGGAGTTGGGATCACAGGCAAAATGGATCTGGCAGGTGCTATCAGACAGCCTCAAGGCAGATGGGTTCCAAACAGGCCCAGGCCCCTACCTGGCAAAGGCAGGCCAGCCCTTCTGAAAAAGGCCCATGGAGCAATGAGAACTCAGGAAAAATGGGTAGTTTTTGTCAGAGTTTTTCTGTTCATGAAACATCTGATTCAGAATCACTTTGGGAGGGTGGGTGAATAGAGTATTTGTAAAAGAAAGAAAGAAAGGGAGGGAGGGAGGGAGGGAGGAAGGAAGGAAGGAAGGAAAGAAGGTAGGAAGGAAGGAAGGAAACAAACATAGATTCTGGGAACCCACTCCAGACAATCAGAAGGTCCTATGGTCATACCTGGTATCTTTGACAAACACTCTAGGTGAGTCTTATGCACACACTTAATAACCACTGGCTAATGATATTGAATTTTTCAATGTTTGTTGATCTCAGACTCCGGGACTCCCTGATGGGGACTCACACCAAGATCTCTCCCCCCTAATATCCAGGAAGGTCGAGCTGCATATTCTGACCTTATGTGAGGTTCCTGACAAAGGACCCGTGGTGCAAAAGCTGTCATGTCCTTTTTAGTGGTAGGGAGGATGCAGCCAGACTCAGACGATAAAGGCACAATCACGTCTTCATCCGTGCAGCTTTCAGGCCCCAGGTAGAGAACCATAGAGGGAGAAATGCCTCTAAAAAAATCATGTCAGTCAGATAACACTTATCAAGATCCCAATTTCTGATCTCCTGGCTAGGTGCCTGAGACAATATATAGGGCTTCCCTAGGTGGAGAGGAGGGAGGAAGGAAGGAAGGAAGGAAAGAAGGTAGGAAGGAAGGAAGGAAACAAACATAGATTCTGGGAACCCACTCCAGACAATCAGAAGGTCCTATGGTCATACCTGGTATCTTTGACAAACACTCTAGGTGAGTCTTATGCACACACTTAATAACCACTGGCTAATGATATTGAATTTTTCAATGTTTGTTGATCTCAGACTCCGGGACTCCCTGATGGGGACTCACACCAAGATCTCTCCCCCCTAATATCCAGGAAGGTCGAGCTGCATATTCTGACCTTATGTGAGGTTCCTGACAAAGGACCCGTGGTGCAAAAGCTGTCATGTCCTTTTTAGTGGTAGGGAGGATGCAGCCAGACTCAGACGATAAAGGCACAATCACGTCTTCATCCGTGCAGCTTTCAGGCCCCAGGTAGAGAACCATAGAGGGAGAAATGCCTCTAAAAAAATCATGTCAGTCAGATAACACTTATCAAGATCCCAATTTCTGATCTCCTGGCTAGGTGCCTGAGACAATATATAGGGCTTCCCTAGGTGGAGAGGTTATTCAAGTTTTAAGCCTAGAAATAAATTAGGGAGCAGAATTTCAGGAAAGAAAAAAGTCCTAATTAATTAGAAATATGTATGCTCATTGAATTTATATTTTCCAGCAAATAAGCCCGAATAAAACCAGTTTCAAAATCAGGAATTCAGACAGAAATCCTTCGTTAAATATACCAACCTGCAGAACAGAGGCCCAAGGGGAGCCATCCAGCCGCCTTCCTGGTAACCCTTCCCTCCCACTGTCCTGCAGACATACCAGGCACTTCACCCAGACACGATAGTGCAAACACTAGTTTGAGTATAAACAGCTACCACACTGATACACAGCTGCCGTATGAGGCAGAGTCAGAACTGCAGAATCATGATAAATACTCGCATCCTCACTGAGATCCAGCCCCTTTGGCACATTTTGGTGGTCATGATAAACAGAAGGCCAGATAAAGTTAAATACTCTTTCACTCAAAACGGGAGCTAAGGGAAGCAGCGTCTAAAGTCTCCTGCAGGATGCTGGACAGAGTAAGAACGGTCCTTCCTACTCCGCTCAGGGTCCCTTAGCCGCACTCCACTGGAAGCCCTATCCAAACCCCCTGGACCCACACTGAGTCACCTCTCCTCTCCCTTCTCTCCGCAGCTCTAATGGAAAATCTGTCACATGGGCCCAGAACGAGAAGAGCAGCCGGGGGCAGCATCTGTGGCAGCGGCTGTCGGTCCACATCAACAAGAAAGAGAACCCTAACCAAACGGCCGTCATCAAACCGTTCCCCAAGAGCACGGAGGGCCGCAGCCTGGGTGTGGGCGTGGGCGCGGGCTCGGGCGGGGGCGCTGCAGGTGCGGGCGTGGGAGCCGGCAGCTCCACCTGCTCTGGTGCCAGCACCGGCGGGCCCGGGGCCCCAGGACCCCGGCGCCAGGCGCGGG